GGCTCCACGGGGTGCGGCGTGCAGTGTGGGTTGTATCCTCCGGTGTGTCTGGTGTGTACTCACCCGCGGTGCCAGGCTCTCTTGTGCACGAGTTTACTAACTGCATCACTGTTTATAGTTGCAAATTTGATACAGTAAACATTTTCTTATGCACCTTTACCCGTTGACGAGAACATGTGCTGGGCAGTCGGGATAAAGGCCCCCTGGGATCCTGGAAGGACCGTGCCGAGGGGAGAGACTGCCGAGACCCCAGGGCAGGGACAGTGCTCATTGCTAAGGAGAAGTGAGTGAGGATGTGGGGGCACGGCTGCTCTGCTCTGCCCGTCGCTGCAGAGGCCGTCACACACCGTCACACAGGCGCCATAAACCAGGTGTTAGGGTCCTGGTTTTGCTGATGAAAGAGCTGAGGCTGTGCAAGGTCAGCAATTCACTGCAAAGCAAGAGGCACAACTCAGATGCCCAAGCCAGGCGTTTCTGACTCCGAGGTCTGAGTGCCTGCCCCACCTTGTTCACACAATTCCTCATGGATTGTGCTGGAAAGCTGTCCATCTTCTCATGGAAGTGCCCAGACAGAGGGACTGCACCTCCAGGGTCAACCTGTTCCAGGCTCCCCAGGAGAGGGTGGGCGCTGGAAGACAGCGCCAGAGGCCGCCCCGTCCTCGGAGTCGGCGCATTCCCGCATCCTGGTGCCCGCTCCTGTGTGATTTTTGGCTGAGCTGAGCCTATTTTCATCACAGTCTCCTCTGGTTCCAGCATTTCAGCTTGGGCTTCCTGTTTCCTAAAACAGTTCTGGTAAAGAAACAAAGGGAGTGAAACTTTTTCCCCTTAGCTCTTGGGTTTTCATAACCAGCCTCAGAAAGAGGCGCCCCTAATGTGGCCTGGGCTGACAGGAGGCCGGTGGAGGCGGGGCCTGGCTGTGGGCTTCAGACCCCAGCTCAGCCGCTTCCTAGCCATGCAGCCACCGAGACTCGGCTCTCTGATCTGTAAAACGGGCGTGCGATGGCACCTCCACAGAGGGGCCTGGCGGAGTGTGGCGGGTCATCTGTGTTAACCCCTGTGAGGTACTGAGCCTGGCCTGTTGGAAGTCCCCGGTAAACATCAACTGTGACAATTACTGCTCATGCATGGTTAGTACCAGCTGAAGTTTATTTGTCAGTGCCAACCACCAGTTAAGAAGTGCCATAAAAACATCCGTGCCTCGGTCTAGAGGACACCGCAGAGGAAGGATGGGGATGGGGTCAGGTGTGCTGGGCATCCTTCATCCTCAGCACCTCTTGACTGCTGCCCCCCAAAGCCCCCAGCTGCACTGAGTGTTAACGAGCCTCTTTGCTTTGGAGCGTGTGTTTTCTGCAAGACATCCTCTCTTCCCCTGTCCTCCTAGCCCCGTGAAGTAGGAATGAGTCTGAGGGTGAGGCGATAGAGCCAGCTTTAGAGGTCTGGAGATTGGCTGGTGCTGTCTGAGCCAGCAAGGGCCAGGAGAGAGGCTGTGACTCACATCGCTGGGTCTGATGCCCCCAGACCTAGTGCTCGGAGCCCCTAATTGCCCAGTTCCTTGGGGGCATCGGGCAGTGGATTCGCTCCCTGCACTCCTGCGGCTGGATTTCCGTAGCGCGCGGCTCAGGCTGCTTGTGAGTTCACTCCAGGCGGAACGGAAACCGGCGCAACCCACGGATTCACGGTGTCTTTCTCTCCGTGCGGGTTTGAGATCACGGGGCAGCCACCCCCATAAAGCTCCCGCAGAGGAGCCAAAGGGCAGGAAGCTGAGTTTGTCCTGTCGCCACCTGGTGGCGCCACCGCGGCTGCAGGACCCAGCTGCTGCCGCCTGGACTCACGGCGTGTGGCGTGCGGGCCGGTGTAGATGAGGCCATCTGCACTGTGGCCCCTCCCAGCGTGAGGCTGCAGACCCTTGCGGACCGGGTGGACAGGGCGTGTCTGGCTTACGAGCACCTCTCTCTGTCTCTCTGTCACTGTCTCTGTCTGTCTGTCTGTCTCTGTTCCCCCATCTCTTTCTCTCTCTCTCTCTCTTTCTCTGTCTCTATTTCCTCACTCTGTCTCTCTCTTCCTCTCTCTGTCTCTCTACTCTCCCATCTCTCTTTCTCTCTCTCTGTCTCTGTCTCTCTCTCTTCGTCTCTCCCTCCACCTCTCTCTCTGTCTCTCAGCAGGGACAGGCCCCTCTTTTTTGTCAAGGCTGGTAGTGAGGACCCCATTGAGGCAGCAGGCCCCCCCAGGTCAGCCATCACCTCCCAGTCTGCACCTCAAGGTGGCTTCCTCCTCCGTAATCTGTGTTGGGTTTGCAGACCCATGGGTGGGCTCAGCCCTTCTTTCTGCCTGATCTCAGAGGGCAGGGCCAAGTGATCCTGGTGACCCTGGTGGACAGGCTGACACTTGACTGTAAATTGGATAGAACCGGCTGCGAAAGGAAAGCAGGTTTTCGGTTTATTTATAGAGATCATGATGCTACACTCAGTGCAGTGGGACGTTGGTGTGAAAATAAAAAATGAACGAGAAGACTATTAAAATAACTGGCTTTTCTCGCTGTGACTGCAGCACAAGAATCGGGCCACCTCTGTCTGCTGAATCCGGTCTCAGAGCCTGTCCCTCAGGTCCGGAGCCAGCACAGAAGGGCCTCCGATGGGGGAGACCAAATAGCTGTGTGTGTGTGTGGGGGGGTTGTTTTGTTTTGCACTTTCCTACTTTTTGAAAGTCCTTTCCCAGGAAATACCAAATGGGAGGAGAGCAGGCAAAGGAAAATTCCTCCTAGCGCTTCAGCAGTGAGGTTTCTGTTTATCAGTGGGCTTCATTTTTTGCAGTGGTTTTAGGGTTACAGAAAAAACGAGCAGAGAGATGGAGTTGCTACCCCTGTCCTGGCCGCTGCCTCAGTTTCCCCACCAGTAACATGCTGCGTTGGTGTTTGGAACATTCGGTGCAACGACGAGGCAGGATCGATACATAGTTATAAAGTCAAGTCCATAGTGTACTGGAGGGCTTGCTCTTGGTGATGTCTGTTCTATGGGTTTGGACAAACGCATGGTGTCACGTACCCCCCCTTACAGTGTCAGCCGTATGAGTTTCACTGCCCCCAAAATCCCACAATATTTTAAGACAACTTAAAAAAAAAGAAATCGGAGCTGTCCCAATCTCAGAGCTACATAAATGTCCTCGGAACTGGGTACCCGACAAACACGCACATGAGACCCCATCCTCCACAGGCCGAGCAGGGGCCGGCCGGAGGGTGTGTTAGGGGCCACCGGAGGCTGGAACCGGCTCAGGAAGGAGTGGAGAATAATATGGGGGCCCGTAGAGATAATCATGTTAGTGTATGTTCTCATCTTAGAAGAAAAGGAAAGGAACGTCCTCAGGCAGGCGGGCGCTGGCCCACGGAGGAGGGCTACACCGCCCTCCTGGATTTAGGAGGGGAGCTTTTGGGGTGCGAGGGGCTTACTGATTCTCGTTTACAAAGCATCTGCTGTTGACGTGTTGCCACATGGGCGACACGTCTGCTGCCGGAATGTGTCCTCCCTCCCCGGGCAGCGGCACGGTGCGAACGCAGAACCGCCAGCAGCCTTTGCTCTGGGATGGAGAGGTGACAAATCTCTCTTGCTTTCTGTGGGTTCAGGCGAAGTGAGGGGTGGGCTGGCTCTCAGGTCCACGTGGCAGCGGCTCACTGAAATGGCACTTGCCGCTCCTGGAGCATCTTCCGGGAGAGCCAAGAAGCCTCGGCTTGTGCTGGCCTCTGTCCTAAAATAGACTCCCACAGTCCCCACTTCCAAAGTTTAGGGCCCCCGGTGGTGTTTGTGTGTAAATGAGACCTGTCGCGTCTGCGTGTGCCTGACTCACGGCTCTAACTCATTATAAGTTCTCTCCTGCGAGGCGGGGGCTCTGCGGTTCCTGGGTGCCGGTGCCTTCCTTTCCCACCCAGAGACAGTCGGGCAGCGTCCAGACTGTTCTCCAAAACCTCTCTGTGCTTTGAAGACATTCATCTCTGCCATTTTTCCTTCCTGCACTCCATGGCTTTGGCGTTGAGTAAGACGAAGAAGCCCGAATTCGTAATTCGTCCCTGAGACCCTGAAAACACGCACCCCTGGCTTTCTTCAGACAGCGGCTGCCTGTCGCTAGCAGGTCAGCTGAAATCAGACATTAGGGATGCAGGGTCTGTGGGGGGAGCTGCTGTTGGTGGCCAAAATGGTTCTAAATATTAAAAATAGGTTAATTTACTATATTCCCTGCATTTGCCCTTCCAGCTGAAATTTTCCTCACTTTTTTTCCCTTTCACTTTATTAGGTTAATAAAACTCCGTTTTCAAGCATTTCGCTGCCCCAGGAGGGCAATGAGCCCCACGTCCAGTGCATCAAGTTCCTAATGAGTGGCCCTGGAGGCGGCAGCCCATCCATTCCAGAAGTTCGCTCTGCCTCGTAAAGGTGAGACCCACGGGCGGCGGCACTGTATATTTGGTCTGTTGGTTTCCCAAATTCTCTTGCCAGCTCAACTGTCACTTCTCGGGATTTATACGGGGCCGACAGCACCACGGGGCAGCTCCCCTCTGCAGCGGAACCCTCCTCCCCTGCCCGCCCCTCACACACACCACACACTACGAGCCATAAAATAATGTTACTGCAATAAAATGCAATAGAAATGTGTCGATGCCAGCAGTTTGGAACATTCCAGCAAAAGGGCTGTGGGAAATGCCTTCGTTTACATTAAGGAGGGAAGCGCTGGCAGAACAGGGGATAAAATAGTGTGAAAAAGGCTTTTAGTAAGAAGAAATAGTCTGGTATTTAAAATAAATAAATTAAAAATAAAATGGTGTGTGTGTGTGTGTGTGTGTGTGTGCAGTCTCTAAATTCTTTTTACACATACATTTCTGCTTTCCCTGGTTCATTTTTGGTGTTTCAGAGAGAGACTGGTGAAGAAGAAAAGTGGATGTCACTGGCCGTCCGGGCCTGGGGACTGGGTCTTGTGTCTTTCTAGAACATTCTTCTTTTTCTTCACCCTGCAGTCTCTCTTGCCTTCGCCGAGTTGTCAGGACTCAGCTGCTCCAGGCTTGGGGCCGTGTCTGCCCCGACATGGTTGGAAGACCAGACTGAGCCCCGAGAGCTCCAGGTACCCACATGAGCTGGCGGCCGGGGAACCAGAGCGAGGCGGTGGGTGGGGCGGGCGCTGGGTGTTGGGGTGCCCCCGACAGCCCTGCCTTGTAGGCTTTTGTAATTAGTGTCCTGGTTCCTCTTCTCTGGTCGGAGCCTCCAGGAAACAGCTCGCCTCTAACGAACGGCTCTCTTGCGGGGCATGTGCTAATAAATGGCTCCATGCGCCCTCTAACTGCTTCTACCTCTCCTTCCAGCTGCCCGCCGTGCCTAGAGTGTGGGAGGGACGGCGCATGGAGGGGAGGTGGTGCTTCCTCTGCAAGCAGTAGGGGGACAACGGGACGGCCGTCTTGCCTTCCCGGGGGTGTCCGCTGCGCTTAATCACCCACTTGGCCACCAGGCCAGTGAACAGACCCCATCCAAACAGTTGGCTGGGACCTAGGGGACTTCTTTTAACCCCTGGGATGAGGAGCGATGAGACCTCTCCCAGGCTATGCGGGAGTGGTAAGGATGGCTGTCGGTCTTCTGCAATCTCCTTGCACGTGTGGAGGAGGAGGATTCTGGAAGGTGTCTGAGGTCGAGTGGAGCGTCCGTGGCTGGCTCACCCACGGGGAGACTGGCACCAGCCGGCACCTCCGTTCTTCAACGTGAGGAAGACACAACGTAAATTGCATTGCCCTCAGCAGTGACCTCAGAGTGTCCCCACACCCCAGAACTTGCACCCCAGCCTTGCACACTCTTGCCTGTTCCCGCCAGGCCCAAGGATTTCTCGGCCGTGTCGGTGCCTTAGAGTCCGCATACGGGAGGCCAGGAGCAGCCGTTTGGATTGGGGCTCGGAGGGAGCAGGCCTGGTCACGCCCCTGAAGCCCCTCCACCGGGGGCTGCCCTTTCGGGGTCTCCCCGGTCCCATCTCCAGGCGACAGGGGCCTGGCTCCTGCGCACAGGTTCCCACGAGGGGCTCCCCTGCTCCCCCGCACGCCCCTCTTCCCGGGCCCTCGCTGAGCATTAGATTATCTTCTGAAAATATACTCTGAAGGGTCTTTGTTTTGTTTTATTTTCACTACTTGACACTCTTGAATAAAGGAGGCCATTTGTCTTTTAGGCAGAAGGATTTCAACAGTTAAACTGCACACTTTGAGAGGATTGAGGCTCCATGCGCAGAGGTAGTTTTGATTTTTTTCGTCACGAGTTTATTCTTGTCTCCGCTTCCCCCTTAACTCTGCAGCTTCTCCCCCCCCCACCCCCCAACTAATCCTCCATCTGCAGTGCCCTCCAGCCCCCTCGGGTCCAGCCCACCTCCAGCTCCGCAGACTGAAAGGAGCATTCACGCCCGGGCCATCTGTTTGTTTAAGCTCACCCGTGTTAGTCCATGTTAAATGCAACAGAATGGAGAAAAATGTAATTCTCTGTCGGCTTTTGATCAAAGAGAGGACTTTAAAAAAAAAATTCAAGATGGATTTCTGAAGGACAATGTTATACACATTCTGTGTGTTTCTGAGCTTCAGTGTTTAGTTGATTTGGGGGGAAAAAACCCTTTTTTTAAATCTCTTTTTGATCCCAGGGAGAAAACACTCTCACAGACACATCTCGGCACCACAGACGTTGCAGGACGGCACTTTTCCCCAGGCTCCTCAGCTGTGAAGCGTAAGGGTGTTGCCTTTAAATGGATCAACAACGCGAGAGAATTTGAAAGACGGCCCAGCAGCAACGTGCAAACCCTGTCTTGCTTCTGTGGGCATTCAAGGCAGCGTCACTCTTGTTTGGGGCTAATTCAGGACGAGGATGCTCGCCCCCGCTCAGAAACACGCACACGTCCACGCTCGCTCCATCCATCTCGGGTTCGCGACCAGTCATTAAATGTACAATCTCCCCCACTCCCTCGGCTTCAGAGCAAATGCAAATAAAAATCGCTTAAAATGGTTAACATTTCCTGTCACTGAAGGCATTCGTTCGAGGTGGGGGTCGCTGAGTTTTAAAGTGTATTTTCATAGGAAGACTCAATTCAGACCCGTGGCAGGAACTCAGACCGTTTGGCAGAGGGAATTTCGGGGTTTTCGATAAGCCTCCATCCGTGGCAGTCAGTCGAATGATCCTTTATATTCTGTGGTTGTAGGAGAGAAATAGCCAAATTCGAACTTAGATTAACCTGGGGCCCAGCTCAGCTCACAGGAAAAAATTAAAATATGTTCTCTCCCCCCACCTTCTCCTTCCCGCACTCTCTTTTCCTTTATTGGAGAAAAACCCCAAATTTGGTGTTTTAATTTGTGGTGTTTCCTCTATTGACTGTTTAGCTAGTGATTTTGCCAACTTCCTGGATGTTCATTTCTGATTCTGCACAAAAGAGCCACATTTCCTTTTGAAATCAGGACCAGGAGACAGACAGCTGCAGACACTGGAAATTGTGAGTACCCGGTCTTTCTCCTGCGCCTCTCTGACCCCGTTCGCCCGCCCTGTCCTGCCTCTCCTTTCTCTCTCTACCAGTTAACTGTCCCTGGGGCTCCCCGCCGGAGCCCCTCCGGTCAGCCCTCAGCGCCATTCCCCACTCTTAGGAAAAGAGACTCTACAATTTCTACACAAACATGGGGAAGGAAGGGCGGGCGAGCGTGCTTAGCAATCGCAGTGACTTCAGTTTTCATTTTAAGGCTCCGAAAGATGGAGAAAGTAAACAGGAGCAGGCTGGTTTATTTCAGGGGCGAACAGTGAGTCCCTACTGAATTTGCCTAATAAAGTGAATTTTTAAAATATTCCTTTTCTCATTTCATTCCAGCAGAAAACGAGTTTGCCTTTATAATGTCCAGACCTTTCAAACTCTATTGAGTGAGAAATTAAGTTACAAAATGTAAATACTTTGGTAGATACACATATATATGAAATGAATATATATCTGTGAAATGAAGTAATTTGTGACTGTAACATAACAGTGAACCTGACTTTAGGCTCCTAGGACGCTTAAAAATTTTTATGATCTGTAATAAAGGAAAGTAAGGTTCAGCGAGAATGCTTCTTTTTTAAAATGGGGGAGTTGTGATACTTAAAAAATTTAATTGTAATTTTCATTGAACATAAATTGTCTATGTTTTTAAATCTCCCGAGCATCTTGTCAAGGATTTACAAGGGAGGATTGTAAAGAAAACATATGTTAATATTCTGGGCCACAATTGACTTCTTTCCTTTCCATGAAACTATTCCAAGGGGTATGGGAAATTGTAAAACAATGTTGTTCTCTCAGGAAACAGATACCCTGACTTTAATTACCAAGAGAAAGCAATTAATGCTCAAATTTCAAGGCAGATCCAGTGATCAGCGAGGAGCAGGAAGGAGGGAAGCAAGACACTTATTTGCATAAGAAAATCCAGAAATCGACATCAGGCAGATGTATAATCGGAATGTGATTATATTTATAAGGAAGAGTTACATAAACTTCAAAAATGGTAGTTGTTTTGCTTAAGTGCCTGAAAAAAGAATTTAGAATAATATTTGGGTTATCCCAGTTTTGTGCTCTTGTGTTCGAGAAGCCTTGTTAGGTTAAAGAAATCCAAATGCGCGATGTGTGTGCGAGTGTGTTTGTGCGAGTGTGTTTGTGTGCGTCTCCTCTACGCCCCCAGCCCTGAGGAAATGCGGGGAGAAAAACGTGAGAGCTGACCAGTGCAAAAACCCCTTCTCTGCAGAAATTTATAACTGACATAAAACTCTTAGAAATTAAAAATAGCACTTCCCTTACTTTTTTTCCTTTTTGTGGGGTTATCGCGGGGATAGGGCGATGGGCTGGAGACACTTTTCAAAACTGCTCCAGACCAGAGGTGTGAAAAAAAGGCTATTGCCACTTTCCTGCACTTTTGATAAGAGCGTCTTGTTCTTGTTCTCGGTCCGTGAAGCTGTGTCATGGTACATCTTAAATATATTTTCTAGGCTTTCTAATTTGCATTGCCGAAACAGAAACCTTTTCCTTCTCAGGGAGGGTCCCCTGTTGTCCAGTAGATGGCGATGTTACTTCTAGAGTGATCATGGGGGTGGGGGTGGGGAGGGTGGTTTAGCCCGAATCGTGTCAGGTCCCCCCTCACCTCTCTAAGAGGGTGACCAGTGAGCTCTAAAGGGAAGAAGAGAAACTTTCTGAGGCCTCGCCTGAAACGTGCCACACCATCCAGGAGTATTTAAGTATTTAAGCCAAATGTTAATTACCAGTGTCTCTCCCTTGACGGCACCCAGCTAGAGTTCAAAGAAATACTTCCCGGAAATGTTCGAGATAAAGAAGGAAGAAGCTTAGCCGCTATTTCAATATTTTATCCATTGCCTGTCTATGTTTTAAGAAATAAAAGATATCCTTAACGATCTTCCTATAATAGCTATGAAGGATGTACAGGTTACAGTACTTCATGGAATTTTATATGCGTACAAATGGCCAATTAAAATCAGGAATGTGCACATAATGATATTGGAGTCTCCCCTTCTCAAAAAAGTGTCTCCTTTTGTTGTGGTGAACGTATGTGGGAACATCCACCCTGGATGCTGTATTTCACTGTATCAGCACCTGCTAAAATGGTATCACCAGCTTTTTACAGCTTTTAAACCACCTCCCAGGAATGACTGCAGGATAACCCCTCCTCCGCTCCCACTGGGAAAAGTTCCTGCTTTATTTCAAAAGCAAACAAACATTTTTCTATCCCCATCTCTTGCTAGAGCGAATCTCAAATAATGATGAACACATTCGTCAACATATTTAATGCTAAAATGGTTTTCAAACATTTTAAAACATGATTTCCACGTTTTGATCCTTCAAGGGAGAACGCGATGTGTTTTATGGAATAATTTGCCATAGCATTTTTTTAAATTTAAACAGAAATAGTGCTCATGTTGACAACTATTTTAAATAAACTGAGATTCCGCAACAGCAACAAAAAGATTTCTTTCTTTTCCTAAAAATGATGCTATCATTTGTCCTTGGAAAAGAAAAAGATGCAGGGGAATTCATTTGGCTCCAAATGTAAAATACTATTTTAAGACACAGAAATATATAAACGGGGTACCGCACACCGACTTACTGCAGCACGTGTGGTAGTAATTAATCATGTATTGTTCTTTGAAAATTTAATTGAATGACATGCCAACTTTTATACCTGTATGTATTTCCAAACTGGGAAGTGACCCACTATTCATAACTCAAGTCTGCGTATTAATAAAATGATCGTGCAAAAAACCAGCTGTTTAAATAAATTCTGTTCTGCTTTAAAGATTTTGCCCTTTGGGGAGAGAGTCATTTAAGTATTGAGTGGCAGTGACCAGGGAACAATAGTTAAAATGAAAATAAATCTTCCTGAAACTTGTTCTAATTTTCTTGAGCAAGATACTAACCCATAAAAAATAAACACTGTTTATTGAACCATGTTTGTATCAAGTGAACCTCTGTAAAATGATACGACGAAAATCTGAACTTGCCCGTCCCCAGCACTTTGTTTCCCCAGCAGAACAGGGAGCGCCATTTGAGACACAGAAACTGAAGAAAATAAAATTAGTCATTCTGGAGAGAGACCCATTCAGACTTGTGCAGGCCCAGGGAGGTGATCGTATTAGAATTAACACAAAAAAATGTGTGTCACTTGGCACCTTGGCTTACGGGATAATTTAATTACACCACCCATTAATGTTGACTTACATTTCTGCTCCGGCCAACCTTCTTATGATCTTGTTTATTTCCAGAAATCACGTTTGTGACAGCTCTAACAGGCCATTCAACAGCGAACATTTTCTCATTTAGTTGAAAATATTTCAGGTTTCAGAAACCCAGCAAGGAAAAGCACTTTCAGACCATGTATATGAATAAACTTGTCCGGGGCAAGATTTTTTAGAAAATGAATTCAACCAGCCTATTTGACCAATTTCAGCCTAAAATATTTTTATGTTTCGATTTGCCAATCAGGCTGATAGGACCTCAGCTGAGGCAAAGATTATTGCCTCTTCTGGGCTATATATATTATATATATATTTTGCTTTGTTTTGTTTTTGGTGGAAGGGTATAACGTGGACTGGGTACCATCTTTGCGCATGGGTTTACAGAGATGCACGGAAGCCTGCGTTACCAGCCAGCACGTCGGACTGACTGCACACAGCACCAGCTGGAGTGACGGCCCTATTGTAAATTCCTAGTCCTGTATTTGTAAACTTTCCGTTTTCTGTTTTTTGAGAAGTCACGTTTGATCTCCGCCAGTGAAGATGGGGGGCATATTTATTTCTCTCTTAACAGCTGAATGCAATCAGGGTGCTTATTTTGTGTTGTGTTTTAGTTAAAAGGTAAAAGAGAAGAGACAAACACACCCAAACAAACCAGAAGACGCATTTAGTACCCAGTCTCCCATCCCGAGCAGACAGTGCCGTCAGCGGGGGAGTCGTGCTGGCGGGCACCACGCGTTTCCCCGCCTCTCCCGTGAAATTCCCCTGGAAGGAGATGGGGAGTTGTGGGGATTCCGTTTAAGGGTCAGCTAACGTGTTTAAGCTGCGTGTCAGGAAAAAGGAGGCTGAGATCCTTTGTGCAAACAACCGCCAGAAACGCAAACGCCTGCCTGTCTCTCAGAAACGAGCTTGCCCAACGTCTTCCGAGGGGTCTGGAGAAATGAGCACTTGAGGCCACCCTTTCAGTGGCCTTGCCGTCACAGCCTCTGTGGGAGGCATCCAGGCAGGAGCTATGCGAGGGCCCAAAACATTCCAGGGTGAATCTCCTCCAGGAGAGGGTCGGGCACCCAGGTCTGTCCCCGGGCTGTGGCCGAGCCTGCTTGGTGAGGAGACGGAACGCATCCCCGTCCCGGCAGCTGTCGCATGTCCACAGAGCAGGAGCTCGCCCAGTTCCACAGCGCTGGAGGCCCAGCCTGGACACGGGCTCAGACAGTGCCCTGCTGCTCTTACACGGCAGTGGCACGCCCTGATGTCCCCATAGCACCACACTTTCTTGGAATCCTAATCTCGGACACTCGGTCATTTAGCAGATTCCTTACTTTTCTGAGGTGTGAGTTGACTGTCTCCTCCACCTGGAATCTGGGCGTCATGATCGCTGCATACTTACAACAAGGGTTGATATTTATCCAGAGGCTGCGATGGGACAGGTGTTGCCTGGGATAACAGGATGGCGCCTCCCAATAGGTCGCTGGGGTAGGGAGTGTCATTATCTCTATTTGACATTCAGGAACTGAGTCCCCGGGCGGTTGGGTGGAACCCCCAAAGTGCCACAGCTCATGTGGCCTGGTGGGGAGGACTGGGCATCTGAATCCAGCTAGCTGGATCACAGACCCCACTTTCTTAACCAGGGCCTCCGAGTGCATTGCTAAATCAGTGTTTGTTGAGTGACTAGATGAATGGGTGACTTTGAGAGGCAGTGGGGTGTAATGCCCGGAGTGAAGTTTTCAGAGCAAGGCAGATTTGGGTTCAAAGAGGGCTCCACTCCTCATTTGTTGTGACCTTGGCGAATGCCTTAAATTTTCTGAGCCTCGGTTCCTCCTACATAAAATTGAGCTGGTCATCTTCCTTTTTCAGACTGTGAGGCCTTAAGGTTGTGAATGAAGAGGCTGGGACCATATAATGTGCTGGATAAAGACTGCGTCACCACCGTCTCTGGGCCAGTTCCAGGAAGCCCGGAAATAAATGGGCAGATGGGCTGCCCGGCATCGCATCTCGGCCACCTGCGACCTGAGCGACCCTGGGTAAGTCTTCTGGACTTTGCTGGGTCTTGGTTTTCTTTTCTGTTTCTGCCTCAAAGGCTGGCAGAAGGAAGGAGAGCCAGGCACATAATAAATACCAAGCACACGTCCGCCCGGTGGCCCCACGAGGGCGTTTCCACATCCCTGTGGCGCTCTCTGCTCATGGCTGCCACGGGAAGCGGGGCCCACAGACCAGCAGTGTCAGCACGGCCTGGGAGCCTGTTGGAAATGCAGAGCCTCAGGCCCCACCAGCCCTCCTGAGCCAGAACCAGGGCCTGGCGCACACTGGCCTGGCCACTGGAGATGCGATGCCCTGGAGCAAGTGGGGGACAGAGGCCACCTGTCTCTGAGGGGGCTGTGGCCCTGGAGCTCCCTCTCTGCGAGCTGCCCGCCCTCAGCCCCTCCCTCATCCTCCAGCATCTGCTCTGGCCGCAGGGGCTGCATTTCGAGGCTCTGGGTCACCCCGCTTCTGGCAGGGTCTGGGCTGAGAGGCACAGGAGAGAGGCCAGAGGGAGGGCTGGAGGAGGGGGGGGGGTCCCTCCCTCCCCCTCCCCCCACCGTCTCCTCCTCCCAGCTCGCTCTCAGCAACGGTGCTGCTCGCTCCCTGGGACAGGCCCGGGCCAACCCTGGCTGCTCTCTGTCCCTCCAGCCCAGGGGCGCTACCTGCTTCAGGACAGTGCTTGTCCCCCGGGCTCTGCTGGTTGCCGCTGAGCTTTTCCATTGCCAGAGCAACAATTTCCACGTATTGAATTCTCTGTTCTAAATACTCAGCGAAGTTTCTGTTTTTCTTGGTTGGATCTTGTGTTCCACCCAGGCTCACGCCGCAAAGGGTAGGGGTCTTGGAGTCACATGGTTTGGACAAGTCCTGCTGACTTGTGCTGCGACCCTGGACAAGTCACTCTTCAGACACCCAGGGAGGAACCGGGCTCAGTGAGGCCCCTTCTCGCCCACTCCGAGGCCTCCTCTGGCCCTGGCCCAGGCCGTCCTGGCCCGCAGCAGCTGGAATGCATGAATGGCCTCAGGTCTTCACCCTTCCCTGGTCAAGCCCTTTGCCGAGGGCTCTGTTGCTCCTTCTACCAAGAGGCGGGTAGATTTCCTCGTCCCCGGCGTCTGGGTTTCACCATCTGACTTGCAGTGGGATGTGCAGACATCGTGCGAGCAGAGGCTTGGAGAAACACTCACCTGTTCCCACTAGCCATCCTGCGCCTCTGCCGTCAGCGTGAGAAATGCGCGTGCTGGCCCGAGGAAGGACGAGAGGTACGCAGAGGGAGTCGCCCGTTCACCCCAGCGGAACTCATGGCTGCGTGAGTAAGTCAGCCCAGCCAACGTCAGCAGGGACACCTGGCTGACCGCCCCAGATGCACCAGCAGTAAATGCCATCCTCACACGCCCTGAGGTTTTGTGCTTTTCTCACGCAGCATGAGTGTGGGAAGAGCTGACTGATGCATCATCGCCAGGGGGATGAGCAGCTCACTTCCTATTGCTCCAGAGGCAGGAGATGTGGGATAAACTGGCACTGAGAACAATGTGTGTGGAGCCAGGCAGACCTAGACTGGGATTCCAGCTCTGCCCCTTCCTGATGGGTGTCCTGGGGACAGTCGGTGTTTCTCTGGGCCTCGGTTTTGTCCTCTTTAGAATGTGGATAATAATAGAACTTACCTCATGGGGGGTGTAGGGATTGAGATGATGTATGTAAAGTACCTAGAACATAGTTAGCACTTAGTAAATGTGATCATTATTATAAGCAGAAGTAATGATAACACTGTTATAAACAACCACCACCACAATCCAGCCTTTGACTTCCTCTCTCCACTCCCTGACACGTGCCCACAACTTGTCATTCCTCAAACTCTCTATGTACTCTTATGCCTCAGTGCCTTTGCACATGCCATTCCTTCTCCTCCGACTAGTGAATCTCCTCCTTTCTTCAAGACCCCACTTAAGTGCAGCGAAAAACTGAAGGTTGATTATCTGAGCATTTCACTCTCCCTCCTGTCCTTTTTGGGTTGTTATATGCAAGAGCATATTTTTCCTTTAACTCTGGGTCATCTTGGGTTAGCCATCTCTCCGTTGCGGGGTGTGAGAGTTCTCTCACACCTGGGCCCACGTGATGAAACTCTCACGGTTGCATTTCCCCGAAGGTACGAGATGTAAGGCCACAGCATTGTGGCAGAAAAAACACTCACGTGGCAACACGAAACTTTGCTCTGCCAGATCTCCAAACACAAGGCCGCCAGGAAGCCCCGGCACTCACCGACTGTTCGGCTGGCCGGCCGCTCAGCGGGCAGCGGATCTTCATGGAGCAGCTGCTCTGCGCCAGGCCCTGGGGCGGCTCTGGGTTTACAGCTCTGAACAACAGTAAGGTCATTCCGTGGCGCCCACAGTCCCTCGGGAGGACAGACAGGGCCTGGGCCGCTGCAGGCAATGGGGGAGCTGTTTGATGGGGCAGTGGGCGTCTGAGTGGAGATGTGAGGAGTCAGCCTGGAGGGGGGCGGGGCAGGGGTATCCCAGGCACTGGGGAGGGGGGCTGGGACCTCCCAGTGGGCCAAACGGGAGAGTGGACTGTGAGGGGCCGTGCTCGGAGGGCCTGGTGAGGCCAGAGCACAGAGGCCAGGGCGGGTGACTGTGCAGGAGCAAGCAGGTGAGGTCTGGTCGCCCCCATTCTGCAGACGGAGACACCCAGAGCCTCTCCTGTCCTGAGAGGCATCTCCATTAGCCACCACGTGGGGAGGAAAGGACAGGTCCAGGGGTGCTGCACTGGGTGTCACATTTTGGGAAACCTGGAGGCTGGTTTCACCAAGGAGATAACCAAATAACTAAAATAAAATAAACAAATAAATAAATAGTGAGTAGAGGCAGCTCACTTTCTGGCGTCGCCAAGAAGACAGAGAACATTGTGATTGGATGGCATTGCTGTCAATCACCTCAGATAGGCAAAGGGGAGGCGGGGCCCTGGCCTGGGTGGGAGTTGTTTCCATTGAGACTGGCTCTAACCCCTTGTGTTTGCTCCTCAAAGATGCGGGGGTGGTGGCAGCTCCTTAGGTTCAGATGCACGTGGGTAGATCAGTTGGGAACTTGTTCAACCGAAAACGACAGCGGGGCTGGTCGTCTCAGGCAGGGGAGGCTGGAGGCAGGTTGTCGGGCAGGGACCCCGGCTTCATCCATCTTTTGAGCTCTGTGCCTGTAGGCACACATGACAAGGTGAGCACCACAGCTAGGAGGCTCATGTCCCAATCCAGGAAGGATAGAGTGAAGGGGGAAGACGCACTGTCTTGTTCTGCAAGGACTGTCTTTCGGCAGCTCACCTCCACCGCGTTGGCTGGGGCCATGTCACCTGACCACTCTCCACCGCAAAGGAGTCTGGGAAACTGCATATTTTCAGTCGGGTTCATTGCCAAGCCAAATAAAACCGGAATCCTGTCAACAAGGAGGAATGGGGTGGAGAGCAGATGTGGTCCGGCGACCAGCAGAGGGCCGAGACCGGCGTGGGTCAGGGCTGACTCCTGCGCGATGCTCCCTGGATGCAAAGATGAGAGTGACACTTCTCTTTACAAAAACCCTTCTGATGAGGTGCTTCTCTCTTAGCATTCTGAATATTTCACTCACGGCCTCATTATAAATAAAATGAATTAATGTGTTTCTGCGAGTTTGGAAAATAAGGAATCGGTGTTTTTGGCCAAGACGTCCCTTCAGGTAGGTAGCTTCTTTTATAGCTGTCATTTTACAGAGAAGGAAACTGAGGCACAGAAAGGTTGGGGGATTTGACCAGAGTTACCAGGGGGTGAGCATCAGAGTGGGGTGTGGACTGCAAGCGCCCGCCCGCCCCATAGCCCTACAACCCCAGCCTGTGGTGGTGAGGGCGCCCTGGGGGAAAGGCTCAGGGTGGCGCCCCTGGGTGCATGCGCTTGCTCAGGAGGTGGGTGCCGGCCCTCTGCATCACAGCCCTGGGGTGCCCACTGCTTCCCTCCTCTCCTGCTGCCCCCATGCCTCTTCTGGGCTCCCAGGTGACCCAGGATTTCCTGCAAGTCAGTTCTGTGAGCTCAGAGCCTGGCCCCGGGAGAGAATTCTCAGTGCTTCTGGCTGAGAGCCTCCGCCTGCCCTCGCTGTGCTCTGTGGGGCCGTGGAGAGAGCCCCAGGTGTGCCATCAGCCAGGTGCTCACACACACCCAGCTCCACACGTCTCAGCATGGTGGGCAAGACGCCGAGTCTCCCTCCGTTGTGTGAGTGGTCAGCTCAAGGCCCCTCACAGGGATGTTGTGAGGAATGAAAGAGGAAAGTGGGGCCCAGGGAAAGAGCACAGGAGCTGTGGTCACCATGGCAACGCACGCCTAGGTACAGGCCCTTGGGTACCATGAGGAGGCATCTATGAGAGTTATCATCTGTGGTCAGCATGGCAACGCACGCCCAGGTGCAGGCCCTTGGGTACCATGGGGAGGCATCTATGGGAGTTATCATCTGTGGTGACTACGGCAACTCACAGTCAGGTACCCTTGGGTACCACGGGGAGGCATCTATGGGGTGTGGGAAGATCAGCCCCTTTCTCGTGCTGTCACTTAATCCCTCTCAGCCTTGGATTCCTGGCCTGTATGTGAGAATGTTCCCCAGACTTCCCGCAAAGGGTTACTGTGAGTACTAGAAAGAAAACCATTTTGATAGTTCAGTTACTGAGCACTGGTCATCAGCCAGGACCTCTGCTAAACCTCTCTGGACCATCTCTTTCATACGTCCTGGCATCAGACCATACTTGGAGCCACGAGGAAAAAATGTCTGCCCAGCTTCTCCAGCTCTTTCCTGCCCAGCGAGCCTCTCTGGCCCTGGTGCCCTGTGCCCGGCACCAGGAGGCGGGTCCCAACCAGCGGCCCGTGCCTTCCCCGCTCACGGTTGATGCACACGTCTGTGAATGGGCAGGGGCAGTCCGGCCTCGTACCGCAACTCGTTCCTAGAAACCCAGTGGTAAAATGGGTGACAAAGCAGATGGGGAAAATACACTTAGAAATTACGCGACTGTAAAACTGTGTTCCTGAAACAGGGCTGTCTCTCAACGAGTGTGTCACTGATGGACAGCCCGCCAGAACCCAGCCCCACGTGGGGGCTTCACCTGGAGAAGAGTCGCCCCCAGCCCTGCACGGGGGCAGCTGGGAGCACATCCATCACCCCAGGGACCCTCCTTGACTGCAGACAAGCGCACTCTTCTGTCCCCCGAAATAGCTTTTTTGTCTTAGATCCACTTTATGATACACGTGGAGTTAGCAATCAGGCTCTCTTTGTAGCATATTGAGGGCTTTAAGGCATTATCTGGAGGAAAACGTTTTCTCCAGAGAACTGCTCGAGAACTCTCGCCCTCCTATAGCTTGCTTTCTCGGATGAGGGCCCAGAGCCTTCCAGAATTCATCTTCAGACCTCAGGCTCCTGTCCCAGGTGTTGAATTCACGTTCTTAGCTGCTGATGCTGTTTCTCTGTCACGAAAGGAATTTTGAAATAACAGCTTCCCTAGAGGACACAGGTGCCCATCAGGAGTGTGTTCAGCTTCAAGTCACACAGAGGTCATTGGCTCATGGCTCCTTCCTCCGTCTTCCACGCCAGCAACGCTGCATCTCTCTGCCCTCCTTTTGTCATCACTTCTCTTTCTCTGATCTCCTCTCTACCTCCCTCTTCCACAGTTAAGGACCCCCTGATTACATGGGGTCCACCCAGATAATCCAGGATAATCCCCCCATTGCAAGGTCAGCTGATTAGCAACCTTGGTTCCATCTGCAACTGTAATTCCCCTTTGCTATAAAACCTAACACTTCACAGGTTCTGGAGAGTAGGATGTGCATGCTTCTTGGAGGACATCATTGTGTCCACCACATTGCCATTACCTGGCCTGTCATGGTCTCAAGATGGCTGCTGCATCTCCAGACATCACGTCTGCGTTCAAGGGAAGAAAGGAGCAGAGGGTTTCCGGGACTATATCAGCTGGGTCTGTGCTTTTTGTCAGGAAAGCAAAAGCCTTCCCAGAAGTGTCCCAGCAGACTCCCTTTACATCTCATGGGTCACAACTGGGGCATTTGGCTGCCTCCAGCTGCAAGGGAGGCTGGTAAGCAACACAGTAGGCTTCTGGCCTCTAAATAAGGAGGCAGTGAGGGAGAAGATGGGCACCGAGCACTCCAGGAGGCACATCATCCGTGTCTGCTGCAGCCCCCTCTGAGCTCCCGAACTTATTTCAGCAAATCCTCACAGACTGGGCCCCAGGGGGCAGGAAGCGGTGGCCTCCAGGGCACGTCTGCAAAGCTTTCCAGCGGAATGTAGTTGACTCCCAGGGTCTTCTGGGGTTCCTACAAGGGAACTTTAAAGTCTGCCCCTGGAACTGTCGGGGAGGCTCCAGGCCTTGGAACGGGCTGTCCTGGGTTCTAGCACCTTCTTGACTTGAGAACGAGAGACACCGTGTGCAAGGCGCCCAGCACGTCTGGTTGCTGCTGGGTGCTCAGTACAGCACAGGTGCCACCCGGGGCAGGCGTGGGACCATGGGCTGGTGTGGCCGCGGGCCGGCCCGAGATGCAGGAACTGTTCTGGCCTCCACACGGCAATGGAGAAGGGGGTCTGCCCACGGGGGGCTTCCATTTGATGGGCAGTTCTGTTCTTACCAAAGGAGTCACGCACATATCCAACAGGGTGGCCTCATTAGGGGTTGTTAGCACATCAATGCCCTGTGTATTCTGCCTGGAAACCCGGGACACAGCTCTGTGTTCCTGGCTGGGTTCTAGGACCCCTCACTGTTGATTTCCACTCAAAACACACCGGCTCTACCTGAACTCATTCAGCTGACCTGGAGTTCCGGAAACAAATCTGGGGGCAGTGTGGGTCCCTCGTAGAGGCAGGAGCTACTGAGTACCCACTAGGCAGCCCCTCGACCCCCACATGCCTCAAACAGCATGGTGCCTCCTCCAGCCCGTCTGGACACCACGTCCTCGAAACAATCTGGGAAATAAAACCCATTTGACTTACGCTTTTCAACTCTCCATCCACTGGTCACTGTGCCGCCATCCTGTGGGGACACAAAGAGGGACATGGTGAGACCCCACCCTCAAGAAGGAAAGGGACTCACAGAAAGAGAGAGAGCTCCCGAGTGTCAGGTCCTGGCACTGTGCAGGCGCTCTACTCCCATTAGTAACGCTGGGTGACGTTGGGCAGGTGACTTAACCTCTCTGAATCTCAATTACCTTGCCTTCGAGATGGGGCGACTAACAGCACCTCCCTCCTAGGGCCACTGTGAGGGACCATTGTATGGAAAGTGCACGGAAGGCTCCTGGCACGTGGAACGTGCTGTGCGGGGCTGGCTTTCACTCCTGAGCTCACTATCATTTCTGATGTACACTCAGCATTGGGGTTGAACCGAACCTCATGGCACAGCCCCACAGAGTGAGAATGGAATTTGAGTCAACTAGAGTCCTGCCTTCCAGGGGGCTCTCAGAAGGAGCCTTCCGCGGCAGTGGCGAGAGTGGCCTCTGGCTCCAAGCCCGGCCCACCTGGCTCCATCAGCTTCTTCT